CTAAGTTACCTTAATCCTGGGGAAAACTGATTAAAGATATTAATTAATTAATAAAGATGTTTTATTAATGTTAATTATTATGTTTGTTGACTGATGCACACACATGATAAGCACTAACCATGTGGGAATCACAAGAGAAATAGAGAGAATCAACAAAAGATGGATAAAGCCTAAAGGGTTTTGGTGCGGTAACATGCATGTTCTAGCTAGTTAGATTAGACTTTAACAATTAAAATTAATTAATTAATTAATAATTATATCAAAATTAATTAATTAGTGGTTTCCAATTCTAGCTAGCTATAGGGTTTGCTTTATTAGCTGCCCACTTTCTTGTATGAGTAAATTATAGATAAATAGCTCAGGTGTTGTATATACAGTATTGCAGATAGTTAAATTAATAATCAATGAGATATTGAAATTTTAAATTAAATTAATACAATCTTTTATAATATGAACTTGAAAGTAGAATAACATGCTTATTTTAGGTTCAATTTCACTACATTAGCATCGTAGACAATTAATAGTTTAAGAGATATTTTAACCTTAAATAGAGATATAATATCTCATAATCTAAATCCGAAAAGACAAAATTATGCTTAGTTGTATATCTTAACCTTAAAAAAAGAATATATCGTAATTTGGATCCACAAAGAGAAAACATGCTTAGTTTAACTTTAATTTCACTATTTTGGTGCCGTAGGCGGTCCATAGCCCGCCTATAATACATTTTTAATTCTAAATAGGGAAAATCTTTCGTATTCTGGACCCAGAAAAGAGAAAAAACACCACTAGCATTGCTGTCATAGCTCTTGTTTTTTCCACATTTATCAACCTAAACTAATCTAGGAAGAATCCAAAGTCATTAGATTATATAAATGATGATTATTATTATTATTAGTGATGAAGGGATTATAGTTAAATTGAATGTTGCATGAGAAGCATCTATCATCGGTTGTTAAAAGACAAAATAAAAAATGCACAAAAAAACACACAAGATCTTCCATAATCTATCAACTAGGGCTCATCCTATGATCGAGCCCCCAACTTTATTCTATATTTTTATATAATAATTAACACATCAATTAACATAAGCTGTCCACCCACCCCAGTTGCTAATAATTCAGTTAAGAATTAATTAATTAATTAATTAATTCAATTTAATTAATTGCATTAGGAATTAATTAATTAAAAGGTTATCCCTGACAAAAGTAACAGCTCAGCCCCGCGGCTCCTTTTTTGTACTTACAATTATTTCTTTAATGACTTCACTTTGACGAGATTAATTAATGATAATAATTACGAGGTGATTATTAATTTGTTTTTACTATTAATTTTTTTAATATTTAGTTCTCTGGTCTAATTTTTTGTCACAGATGATCAAATTTTAAATAAGTGATTTATTGAGTAAAATTGTTATTTTTATTACTTTTCTGTTAAATTTCTCTCATAAATCATAATGGTGTCTGTAAATGATAATTTTACCCTTCAAGATAAATCAGTTGCCTAACTAAAATTTAGTCATTAATTAATTACGTTTTATTGCAGGAGATAGATGTGTTACTGAAGAAGTTAAAATTTATCCCAAGTTCAGTTTTCACAACGGACCTACCCTACGTAGATTTTCTGGACCGGGTTCACAAGGCGGAGTTGAAACTCCGGTCCAAGGGGCTGTGGGACGTGCCGCACCCGTGGCTAAACCTCTTCGTCCCCAAATCAAGAATCGACGAGTTTGACAGAGGGGTGTTCAAGGGCATTTTGGGGAATAAAACCAGTGGGCCAATCCTTATCTACCCCATGAACAAGAACAAGTAAGTTTAATTAATAATTCAATTTTTTCATTTTTTGATGTTGTCAATTCTTTCTAGCTGTTCATACCTATAACGTTACAAAATTTTCATTTATTTTGTTTGTTTTGTTTTTTTGTCCCCTCTCTCTCTCTCTCTCTTACGTTGTTAGGTAACATGTATACATATATACATACACCCACACTGCCATGCTGCATGCATGCAATGTGTATACTGTATCTATGTCCTCTTTTGTCCCTTACGTGTTACTTAGCCGTAATGCCACCTCCCTTTTGTGACACTTTTCATGTTTTCTTATAAGACCATATACACTGTACTGAATAGTGTTCACTGCTGAAAATTATGAAATTTTCGACCACCTGAAAGTGATCTTAAAACAAGTCAAAAGTGGTCAGAAATTACATAATTTCCAGCAGTGATTTAGTCTCGGGTATTTTCCGAATAAAACTTTATTAACTATAGCTTGTTTTGCTAACAACGGGAAAATGCAAGGTTTAATATAATATTATAATGTACAATTTTTACCAATAAGAGCGTATGGAGTTGACCTGGTATTGTGGGTAATAATGTACAAATACTTTTGAGGTTTTATAAATAAGACATATCTTATGATTTATCTCATTGGTTAAGATTCTAGGGTAAGGGCAGTTGAAAGCTCGGAGTTGAGGGTAAATCCGTCTTTTAGTATTTTTGGCATGAAATATAGGAAGAATGCTAGAAGAAAATTAAAGAGGGGAAAATTTTTCTTTTAGTGAACCATTTATTAGGTGAAGGGGGCAGTTGTAGAATAATAATGTGGTGGTGGGGAATTAGGGTGACACGTGTGATGTGACACATGGCGCACATGCAAAGCGTTTTTACACGGTGTATAAGAGCATTACACCACGGTTCAACCGAGTAAGAAATCTGTCCATTTTAGATATAATTCTGACATTACACTATGGTCTAACAGAGTAAGGGATCTGTCCACTTCTCTGACATTACAGTATGGTCTAACAGAGCAAGAGATCTGTTCATTTTGAATATAATCTTAATACTGTGGTTGTCAAGATTCAAACTTTGATTTCTTCTCTCAAATATTGTTTATTGAACCAATAAGTTAAGCTAGTCTTGGTATAATTTTCACGATGTTAATTAGATGGAGAGGGGGAAGAGGGAAAAAAAAAAAAAGTGAAATGGACGGTAGAGATGGTCCAAAGAGGAAGATCCTGATGTCAGGAGAGATCTTCCCACCAAAGGGGACCAACTATGACTGATGGGATGTTCTGTGTGTCGTGTCGATCACTACGTTGTTCCATATACCCTACTTATTATAAGTAGAAGTTTTCCTATGTACTCATTTTACTCCAAATAATCTTCAAAAAAATATACTAACAAAAAACCTATGTTTAATTCTAGAGTAGACTATTCAAGTCAAATTAATCTAATCATAATATTATAAGTTTGGTTCATATTTTAGGTTACCAATTAAATAATTTTTGGATTGATTAAATTTTATTTCACTATTATACGTATTATTTAAAGATTGATTAAATTTTATCACCCTATCTTACAATTTGCATCAGGTGACTATATTCGATGCAATCAGGCATATTATTGGTGTTTATAATTATAGTATAAGTATACAGAAATGACTTAATTTCGTGAAATTTTTTGATAAATTTTACTTTATTGGCCTCCGGGAATATTTTGAGCTAAAAGTGAAATGTGAATTAACAGATGGGATGAGAGGACTTCGGCGGTGACACCGGAAGAGGAAGTGTTTTATCTGGTGGCGCTTCTAAGATCCGCCGTAGAGAACGGCAACGAATCTCAAACGTTAAAGAATCTTCAAAGTCAAAACCGAGACATCCTTAAATTCTGCAAAGAATCGGGAATCGAAATGAAGCAGTATCTCCCCCATTACAGCACGCAGCAAGAATGGAAAGAACATTTTGGAGAGAAGTGGGAGAGGTTTCAGCATAGGAAATTACAGTTCGATCCAAAGCATATTTTGTCCACCGGACAACTCATCTTCACCCCATCTTTTAACGCCATGACAGCTTCATGGTGACAGCTAGCTTAGATGCTAGCTACTGTGTTATGTGTATCATTAAGCTAAATATCAAATATTAACTTTTATTAGTAGCGATAGGTTGTACATAATTAAGGGGTAGGAAGTGAAAGTTGTAGCATTCTTTTTTTTTTTTTACTTTCTTTCCTTTTTTCCCCCTTTGTTTAGGGTTAATTTCTCGAGGTAATTTAATAAAATATTATATTTTCTTATGTTATTCAATATTCTCGGGATTGTCCATAACTGCGAGACTAATCTAAATTCAACTCGAGATGCACTTGTAGAGGTTGGTTATATTAACCCGGATTTAATTCGAATGACATTTATGAAGTTTGGCTATTCCAAATTTGATTTAGATTATGTATGGTGCGGTTGAGAAGTAGTTTAGCGACGTGGAGTGAGGTGAGTGGGCAAATTGCCATTTTGTCCACGCGATCCCAGACCGCCCGACTTGTTTCCTTCCAATCATGTTTTTATGTGTGAGGGCTTTCAGTTCCTTCTTTCATGGATTGGCCCCGACCAGGCCCCCATCTTTTTCTTTTTCAATGTCTCTTTTAATTTTACCCCTTTTTGTCTCTTGCTTCCTTTTATTTATTTATTTTTTTTAAAGTGCTCAATACAAACAATAAATATACAAACGACTATACTTGTAAGTGCAACTCAGGAAACGAAACTTCATAAAGTATAAAAGTGTACACCAAAAATTCTAAATGTGCAAAATATAAACAGTAATCAAAACTGCAACACGAACATTCTAAAAGTGCACAATATAATTGTTATAAGGCACAAGTTTACACGTTCTAGGTGCAAACTCTCATTGTGTGTGGGGTGGAGGGAATAATGTGTTAATAGTACCCACTAAAATCTTTTGCATCCACACCAAATACAACCATGTATATTTTTATATTGCCTTAAATAATTGTCGATTAACGCCTTAAAAATTCTTATATATAAAAGTAAATCGCAAATATCACACTATTTTAAGTACTCTTAAATCTTAATTTAAACAAATTAGTGTCGACATTTTTATGATATGCAGCTACACAAATATGAATGAGCGCTTAGTTTTAAGTAATAAACACAACAATACACTATAATAGTAAATATTCAGCTCAAAAGTGAACAATATTGAAGACTCCATATGTATAAAAATCTCAATTTTATTTCCCAAGGGTTCTCAGTATATATCAAATTATCAGTCAACAATGCACTTATTTATAATTTTATGAATTTGAAGAAATAAAAAATAATTAATGCAAGAGTTTCTTAAGAGAGAACCCCTTGGAAGTTCTGTGATTTCCCAGCCAGTGTTGCATATGGACTCCAATGGCATCCAGGTAAATTCCACTCCTCCCATGGAAGCCGACAACCTTTCCTTCTGTCGTGTTTGATGTAAAATATGTTCCCATTTCCTTACCAAAGGGCCCAATCTTCCTTCTGGTTGTGTGGAATGTTAAAGATTTGATCACATTCATGCCATGGCTGATAGGTCCATAGTACCCACTTATGCAAGTTAGCACTTCATTAGGATACTCCAGTTTCACCTGCAAATTGAACCCATGACCTTTAGCATGGCTCTGATACCAAATTGAAGCATGTGTTCCATCTCAACTAAAAGCGTAAGCTGATAGTTGAATTGCATAGTATATGCTCAGCAAGTATGACAAGAATTACCGCGTTAATTATTTCTCCACCATTACCGCCACCATGCTTCACTGACCAAACAGATTGCCCATATCGATCATACTCGATTTCAATACAGCAGACTGCCTCTTCGGATCTTGTCAAGATAGCCTGTTTAATCCCAGTGAACACTCCATCATCCCATGGTTTCCCACTATCCCCACCCCATGGACCTGGTCCGTATGGGGCGGGGTCTTTCACAACCCGTTGTGCCACCTATAAAGATCAAACATTTGAGGTTGGAGCCAAATAGAATCATGGCATACAAATAACAGACCATATATCAGTTTGGTCAGGCAGTGCAGAGTATAACCTCTTGGGCAAATCCTCGGTTTCCTAGTTTAAAAGACCACTTAGGAGTTTCAGCCTCGGGAGTTGATACTTCATTGAGGTTAATAATGGCGGTGGATGCTGGGGAAGTGGGTGGTGGTGTGAATACTTTCCCTTCAAGCACATGTACACCAATTGCATCGAGAAATAATCCCTTCCTCCCGTGAAAGCCAACGATCATTCCTTGTTTCAACCTTGTAGTGAACTTTTCTCCTACTTGTTCTCCAAAGGGACCGTATACTCCCTTTGTAGTATGGAACATGAGAGATCTTATAACATTAGGCCCCATGTACATTAAAGGTCCAAAATAACCAGTTATATGAGTTAAGATCTCTGATGGATAATCAAAAATGATCTGCAGAAAGTAGAGGAATAGTTACAGTATGACCGTAAATCAGAACAAACTTGAATTTGGAACTATTTGATTTCATCTTCTTACCCTGTCAGTTTTAAAAGATCCAGTGCCACCATTTTTGCTACCCCAGATAGGTAGTCCATTTTGCTCATAGCAAACTCGGATTGACACGATCCCCACATTACGTGATACCTGAATTTGCCGAACACCATCATAGACTCCATCGTCGAAAACACTGCCACTACTACCACCCCAGGGTCCATATGTAACGACACTTTTAAATGTCTTTGAAGGGACCCTTTCAACTGGTCCAAGGAGAGCAACGGGAACCTGTGGCATACCATTTCAAGAAATAATCAAATCCCGAGTAATCCTTTGGAGCGAGCAAAGAAGATATTTATCTGCTAGACTATTTTTACCTTGTTCTCTGGTTCTGCGTAACTGAAATTTGAGGATTTAGAACTTTGCCTCGACATAGAATAGGACTCAGTGGAGTTGTAATCTTCCTTCTGCCTCACAGCAAAAATGAATTCATGGTTGTTACCGAGATTCCCCTGAATCATTGAGTACTCGTATTTCTCACTTCCCTGAATTAAGGACTGTTGAGAATGGACAATGGCTTTTGCTGACAAAGGCTTTTGAATTGGCTCTACAAAAGCTCCAATGGAATCAAGAAACCAGCCACTTTTCCCATGGAAACCAACGATTTTTCCTCCAGAAGTGATGGGCACAGAAAAATAGGTCCCCTCTTTCACGCCAAAAGGTCCATATACTCTTTTATTGCTCTCAAATGTAAGTGATCGCACGATGGCAAGCCCCCATTCTTGCAGGCTACCATAATATCCATGAAGAGAGGTCAGAAACTCATCTGGATAATCAAGTCTAACCTGCAACAGAAGTAGAATTTGTTTTCTGAATTTAGCAAAGCCGAGCTCATTAGCCCTTCAATGATCACGAAATTTGACTACATCTATCAGGGCTTAGTTAAAAACTCACCTGATCAATTTGAGCACCTCCATTACCACCATGCTTGTCTGACCAAACTGAGGATCCATTTTTATCGTATTCTATTGTGATGGAGTCAATGCCTGCTCCATGAGCTATCTCCAATTGGCGTATGGTGGAATACGCTCCATCATGCCAGTGAGATCCACCTTGACCTCCCCATGGCCCAACTGAGGTGATCTGTTTGCCATAATCCCCAAAATTCTACAACAGAAAGATCACAAAAATCTATATGAACATAGAAATGCGTTGAAAGTACGGTTAAAAGACAGTGTAACAAGTATAATACCAAAAATTACCATTTTCTGAACCCCCTGAAAGACAATATTTGGAGAAGCAGATGAGAGGGATATGTAAGCAGACAAATTGTTTTACTTACTCCCCTATGGGGCAGGTGTATGGCATATTTGAAGACTGAGAAAGAATGGGTCTGTGTATGGGGAGGTCTTTTTTTTATTGGAAATTCCATGTTCCACTTTGGAGGGGAAGAACTGAATGAGAGAGAATTTGATTCTCCCATGAAAAAAAAAAAAAAAAAAGCATTTGGTCCTTTTAGACCTCCCTGCATACATAATGTCTGATGGCAACAATGTTCTATACTTCTATTTTACAGAAAATGACTTCCAACAAGAACCATAAAGAAAAGTTCTTGCAAAAGGAAATCCAACCAGTTGTCATGCAACATTTTGCAGTGGAGGAATACTGTCACAGATGATTGATGTCATTTGCATGAGATTCAGATGCTTGATTCTCTTAATGGTTCCCAGTCAGATGAGGAGTGTCAAGAATTTCACCATTCCAATTAGGAAATGACTATTAATAATCTTTTTAAAAAATTATTAAAATATTAAGGGGTCAATTTACTCGGCTCCAGAGTGGCAAAGCTTGTTTCTGTTACATTCCAAGCCATGACACGTTAAAAAAAATTGAATAGCAGAGACATCATTTTAAGTTCAACCAATTAATATTATGAATCTAAAAAGTATCAGCATTTCTGGGATGTTTATACCATTTATATCTATGCATCTTCAATACATATCATGTTTAAAACACCCAGCTCTTGATTCCTAGTTCCATTCCTAACTCACAGACCAAATAGAGGACTTCCTAATACTGATAAGAGACAGATATAGTCAAGAAAAGAGCCAACTTTGAACTAAGGAAATAGCAGGAAACTTACTTCTATTTACTGCAACATGAGAAATTCTTTTTTGGAGCTTTGTCCTCTTTCTTTATTGAGATGATCCCCTTTAGCATAGAAAAACAAAATTTGTTTCCATAAAGCCATGATTCCCTCAGAAAAGCGGAATCCTTATAAACAGGGGGGGTTAACATGTACTCATAACTACCAATAATCTCTACAGGAACAATACCCATCCTTAATATGGTGCAAGCACTTTGAGTCATCTAAGTATATTTCACGCCCATGTGTCTTGGAGATAAACTTTGCCATGCTATGGCAATCACCACAAATTCTCAGGTTCTTGACAATTCTAATAGCGTCAGATGATTGAGGAGAGTTAATAAGGTTATAGGCAAGTGCAAGTTTTTCACTATGAACCCAACCTGTATCTTCTTTCTCTTCCTCCATGATGCAAACTCCTTTACAAGGATATGACCGTGTGGTTTTCCATGCATTATTTTTTGTTAAACATTGTAGAATCTCAGTTTCTAGTTGACTTTTGTGACACGTAACAAAAGTATGAACTGTGTCTTTGTCTATAGTGCAGCTCCAACCAAGTGATGCTTCAGCCAAACTTCCCTTCACATGCCACTTCCGGTTTAGTGCATCCTCAGAAACACCACATAATGCATACAACTGTAAACCCAAATGATGAATCACAACATTTCCGGGATCCAGTTCTAGCAGATGTTCCACAGCATGGATTGCTAATCTTACATTACCATGAATTCGAGAAGCAGTAAGTAAGGCATCCCAAATAGAAACATCAGGCTTTATGGCCATACTTTCAATGAACTCCATTGCTTCTTCAAGCATACCTGAACGACCAAATAAATTTATCATAGCCACCGAATGGTGTAAGCCAGGATTAATTTCATACTCTCCTATCATGTTAGAGAAGATATGCTTCCCCTCATCAACCATTTTCGCAAGACCATAAGATGAAAGCAAACTTGCAAAAGTAATCCTATCTGGTTTAAATCCTTTTTGTCTCATTTGGTCAAAAAGCTCAATAGCATCTTTTGAACATCCATGCAAAACATAACCAGCAATCATAGTATTCCAGGAGATGATGTCTTTGGCTTGCATCCCATTAAATATTGCTTTTGCAAAGTTTATGCTCGCACACTTTGAGTAAGCGTCTATTAGAGCATTAGAAATGGACAAGTGAGAAGTGAAAAAGTTCCGCAATGCAAAACAATGGATCTCTTTCACCTTTTTGGCTGCAATTATGTTTGCACATGCTGGTAGAAGACTCAGCACGGTAATTGGATTGGGTTTAACACGAGAGAGAAGCATTTTCCGAAATATACCCAATGCTTTGTCTATCTTCCCATTTTGCACATAACCAGTAATAAGACCATTCCATGATGCAATGTCCCGTTGAATACTCCCATCCTTTTCCATTGCCAAGAAAAGATCCAAGGCCTGATCCTCATCTCCACTTTGCATGTATCCATTAATCATCACATTCCACGTGATAACATTTGGTGGTACACCAGAGTCCTGCATTCTCACAAAGAGATCATAGGCTTTGCCAGAGTATCCAGCTTGGCAGTATCCTCCAATCATCGAATTCCAGCTCCACACATCCTTCTCTGTAATCATATCAAAGACCTTTCGAGCAACCTCAAGTTCACCACACTTAGAGTACATATTAATAAGGGAATTGCCCACTACAACATTTTCATCGAATCCCAGCTTCACAGCAATTGAGTGCAGCTCTTTCCCCTTCTTTATACTTTTAAGAGAAGCACATGCTGATATAGCAATCACAAGTGATACCTCATTGGGTTCAATCCCACTAAGAACCATCTCTTGGAACAATTCCGATGCCTCGTTGCTCCTATTGTTTTGAGCCAACCCGGATATCATACAGGACCAACTGAAGACATCTGGAATCGTCCCGTAACTCTCCATCTCTCTCATCATCTCCATCGCAGCATCACACATCCCCAACTGATTATAGCTAGACATCAAAATGTTCCAAGTAATCACCGTAGGTTCAAACCCTTCTTTCTGCATTAATCCAAATAACCTCTGCACCTCCCCAATCTCACCTCTCTCACAATACCCCAACATTATGGAATTCCAAGAAACTATATCTCTAACCTCCATGTAATCAAAAAGTCTCTTCGCCGAATCTAACCACCCATGTTTGGCATAAACTGCAAGAATCGAATTACTCACACGAATTTCCATATCCATTCCTAGCCGAAGCACTATAGAGTGTATCAACCTCCCAGTCTCAACATCCCCACACTTCCCACAGGCTTTTAAAATCTTGGGAAACAGAAAACTGTCGGGGACAACACCATCCCGCATCATTGAATAAAAAAGCTCTACAACTTCAATCCACCTGCTTTCTCTAAAACACGCACCGATCATCGCGGACCATGTGAACAGGTCTCTGCTACGCATTCCGTCGAACACCTTATATGCATCTGTTATGGAGCCGCATTTAGCGTACATGCCGATCAATTTTGTTTCTATAAACGGGATTGCAGATTCAAGTACGTATTCCATGCAGCTGTGCAGTTTACGGCCCAAATGTATTGAGTGTGAATCAACGCAAGCGTCGATTAAGCGCGAAAGAGTTCCTGGCTTTACCTTGGAGCCGCATTGGGCTATGGTGTCCAGAGCAGTTATGGCTTCCCTGAGGCGTCCGTTTATGCAGAGATGGTGCAACTGGGAATCTGTGACACAGGGCACTGTTTTGCTGGGGGGAGTTCTCAGCTTTTGCGGTGGTCTATGCGGGATTTCAGGGTTTTTTGGCGCGGCTTTGCAGGGAAGAAGTGCATTCTCCATGGAAAGCGGTTTACTACTCTTTCAACTTCTCCTTTTCCCCCCTTTCTTACATGAATTTTCAACTTCGCTGTTCTTAGCGAGGTTGGGAGCGACGAAGCTCCGGTCGTTGATTCACGGCGAAGCTTAGAGCGACGAAACTCAAATCGGTCCGAGTTGCAGAAAGTGAAGGCTTCTGAGCCAATCATCTGCGGCGTAGTCTGATTTTCTGTGATCATATCTTCCCACGTCATCCTCTCCCCAACTATTTTTTTTAATATTTAATTTAATTTAATTTTAGCAAATAATATTTATATTTATATACTTATAACTTAAATGGAAATTCTACTAATATAATTAAATTTAATTTTAAAAAAAAACCATTAAAATAATCTTTTCCAATAAATAACATAGAGCTTTTCTCACTGTCATTTCCATGAACAAGTTTTACTTTTAATTCCTCCGGAATTCAAAGAGATTAATAATAGTTAAAAGTTTAAGTAAAAAATATCACAAAAATTGAGAAATTAAAAGTGAATTTTCATATCTTAGTAGTGGGAGAACTATACCCAATCTACATTTTGTGAACATTGGGTCCTCCAACCTAATAAGCTATTAATTTAGCCCTCCCTCCCTAATTCCAATGGATCAGCCAACATGGCATTTGACCAATGCTCACAACGTATCTAACTACTGTCAAAGTTCGAACATTGACCTCTTTTCCCGCCAAATTCAAACGTTGGTCTTCTCTTTCAAATACCGTCTACTAAACTATTGAGTTAAGTCTATGCTGCTCTCTCTCCACTACAGTGGGAAAGGGTGGGGGCCCGGATGCTAGGGAATTTCACCTGTAGGCAAGAGTGCACAATTCCTATTTATCACCCACTTTCAGGCATTTCAGCCCATCCTTTCCGTGAAAAATGTATGATATTAGGGGCACAGCCAATAAACATGAATCCAGTTTCATTCAAATAACATCAGAAAGCTTCACACAATGTTGTGATGAATACAATGGCAGAGAGAGTATATAGACAGAGCTAGAGAGTAGTGCTGTCCATAATTATTGTTACATGACAAAAGGAAACCAGATCACCCTTCTTCTCTGAGACTAAGCAGTCATGACTGCTGCAGCATGCTTAGTTATGCAGTTCTGCAGATCATCCTTCTTTGCACCCACCATCCTATCCACTTCCTTGCCATCCTTGAGGAACACGAAAGTCGGCATGGCCTCCACCTTGTACTCCTCAGCCACACCCTGCGGAAAGAGTACAGCTTCAGTGTGGGATACCCGAACTGCAACAACTTGAGTATGTACATTCACAAAACAAAAATGAAAATCAAGGACTACAAACCTGCAGTTCGTCAACGTCAACCTTGACAAATATCACATGAGTCATTTTCTTTGCAATTTCAGCCAGTATTGGAGCAATCATACGGCAAGGACCGCACCAGGAAGCAGTGAAATCAACAACCACCTACATTTAAGAGCATAAATGTAAGCCAACTGTGGCAATTATTTCACATGGGCAGAGCAAAGAAGAAAGCAACAACTTTAAAACTACAACGAATCAACAATTGAAAATTGTTCATTAGTAATTTAAAACACATAGGTTCAACATAAAAATTCTGATTTGCAGGATAAGTATATGAACTGAATGATGTCCAGAGCCCAGATAGTTGTTTGCCTTACAGAAATCTCAGAAATGGCCTACCAAAGCACAATCTAAGGCAGATAATACATTATAAACACACGAATTTCTCGAACATAGAATCCAATTTACATCGAAAAAGGAAAATGAACAAAAAATGACGGAGTATACAGTAGAAGAGAGTTAATGCAGCCAAAACATTCTCCATAAGTCGAATTCTACGTTTCAACTACAACAAAACGTGCTGATCAATTGCAGTTCAACAAAACACGAAAAAAGGAACAGAAACAACAGAGCGTGCTGATCAATTGCAGTTCAACGAAACGAAAACAGGAACATAAACAACGTGCTTGTGCATATGATTCTAATCTAACTAGCAAGGTATAGTAACTAGTAAGTAGTACGAGTAATTTCCAAAATTGTTTCAGCAAAACCGCAGAAAAGCAGATTCAAAACCCTAGATCGACGAAACAAGAGAGAAAGTAAAGCAGATTCTCCATACTGATCAATCGGAAGAGAATATACCAGTTTTTTGGTCTCAACGCCCTTAGCGAACTGCTCCTTCCAGTGATCCACTGTGTGGCAGGCGATCACCTGTCCCTCCTCTGAAGAAGTCGCGGCGGCCATTTCCGTTCTTCTCTAGAAGCCAAAAGCCTGAAATTCCTAAGATTTAGTATGTTAAACAAAGTCGTTTTTCGTATTGCGGGAAGAACATTGGAATTTGGAGCGGCTTATATAGCGGGAGCGGTGAGGTGTGAAATGACCAAAATTACGGACTTGACCCCCACGAAAACGTGGTTTTACTCTTCATTTGCTCGGTGGCTCAGAAGTCCAGACGTGAGGCGATATGTCATTTTGGAGTTCCAGATTCTTCCAAGGTTCCGAGTTCTGACATTATCATGTAAAATGTGTCGAAATGAGAAATATTTTTTTTATTAATAAAACTTGTTACTTTTTTTTTTTAAGGAAAAATTGTTACTTTTTGAAACCAATAAAATAAAAAGTGTAACTAAAAATCGAACTTGCTATTCATTTTGGACGTCACCCTCCAATATTAATTATTCAAAACTCTTTTTCTAAAATTATACACCCTAATAAATTGCTAACTACTTAATTCACTCAATTACGAAAACACTTAAATGTTTCGTGTGCTCTAAAATGTTGTTGTTATAAAGTTTTATTTATGGACATTATGAGGATTCAATGCAATGTTTTGTAGAAGTATCTTAAATTATTCCTTTCCTTTTTTTGAAGAAGAAGAAGTATTCCTTTCCTTTATATTCTTGTATTATACTTCGTATATTGTAACAAGGACAAGGATGAGATGATAATATTTGAATTTTTGAGATTCCCTCATATCTTATCTTTTGTTTTCAGCATCTTTCATTTTTCTTGTATATCTTATATTTTGATATTGTCAAGTTTACTTGTTAGGAGCTAACGGGCCAATGGACACAACCAACTATAACTGTTGTAATTTAATAATTTAATTGTTCAAAAATTAATTTAGAAACTCAACATAATGTATGTTAGAACTATATATATTGATCACGATAGAATTTACAATAACTATTCAAAAGTATATACAAGGTAAAGTTCACTCTTATATAATAGTTTACAAATCACATAAGAGTAATAAATCACAATAGAAATATCATATGTGATAGGTAGAGAAAATTGGCATTAACTCTTATGTAATAGTGTTTTATGACTAGGATTTGGTTTGAACGTCCCAATTATACGTATTTTGCTTGTTTGATGGTTCAATTGCACATGTTTTAAGTTCAATAATGACCAAATTACACAAAAACAAGAAGTTCAATAACTCATTTGACACTTTTCCCTATAAAAATGAAACTTTTCAAACACGGATGATTTAAAAATGGTTTCACCAATTCTTTTGCAGATCAGTGCATGACAAATCAGAGAGTAGTGTGGAGAGAAAAATGTGATTGATAATCACAACATATCAAATCAAAAGTGCAGAGCCAAGAAACAACCTCAATACCTGAACTAAGAATATTCCTTATCATCATCCTACAACCTGTGTGACTCAAAGTCTGAAAGTCTTATATCACATGTACTACAAGAATATCCTCATTAGTATGCACCCCAGTGTTATGTAACATAAAACTGTAATTTTTATTGGGTTATTGCTACGCTACAACTAGACTCATCTGATATTGATGAATCGAGGCGTGGGTTTGTTCAATACTCCTTGATGCTTAAAGGCCTGCCCATCCCATGTCGTAGCGCTAGTGTGACATTGCCATTTTGCTAAAAGTCAAGTCAAGATAACCATTGTCAAAACGGGATAACAAATAAAATATAGGATACGAGATATGGGAGGTTAGGGAATAGGCGACTGACCTTGAGGCAGATATTCTTGGTTGTATCGCAGATAGGGTAGTCACTGGGGCAACAGTGTTTACCATCGGAGCAGTAAACGCCCGAATTGGATGCACAACATTGCCTAAAACTCTCCAAGCGCGGCGAAAGCTATCACAGAAAGTGCAGATACTGCATTTGGTGGGACCGGGGCCGGGAGAAGGGCTAGGAAGATTAGGGCTCGTCTTAATTGGGTACGAAGCAAACATGTTGATCCCACACATCCCTTCCTGAATGCCAGTGTTACGTTGCATGTACATGTAACCCTTGATTCTCCAACTTGTTCCCCATGAGTTATTTACAATCCAATAATCAACGTCATTCCCAGAATCGTACCCCACAATCAATACGACATGATTTAAATTTGTTGAACACGGCCCGGTGAATATCCCCTGAAAAATAAACCACATGGCATTATCAAAATTTGCTTAACAAAACTTTTCAACTTTTCAACTTTTCATGCTGAGAGGACGACCACTTGTAGTAGTTTCTTCTCATTGCCTGCGGGTACATCC